TCACCAAGGTTCCTGTACCTGACACCATCACAATCACTGAAGACTTGGTTCATCAAGGACTAAACACTGAGGTACCCCCCCTGGTGAGACACTGTTTAACCAATACATACTTCACTTGGAATGGAACTTTCTACAAACAAACTGAGGGCACCCCAATGGGCTCCCCCCTTTCTCCGGTTATAGCTAACATTTTCATGGAGAAATTTGAGACTGACGCCATCCAAACTGCCACTCTGCGCCCAACCTTATGGAAGAGGTACGTGGATGACACTTTTGTCATCTGGCCACATGGCCGGCCTGCTCTAGACCAATTCTTCGACCACATCAATTCCATACACCCAGCCATCAGATTTACCATGGAAGTCGAAAAAGATGGCAAGCTACCTTTTTTGGATGTCCTAATTAAAAAGAGACCTGATGGTTCAATGAGCCACTCTGTCTACAGGAAAGCTACCCATACGGATGCTTATCTGAAACCGGATTCCCACCACCATCCATCACAGAAGAATTCTCTCATCAAGACTCTGTATCATAGAGCCCAATGCATATCCGACCAGGAACACATAGGCAGTGAACTCAAGCACGTACACCAAGCTCTTAAGGCTAATGGTTACTCCGACTATACAATCGGCAAAGCTATCACTCAAACCATGAAGAAGGAGCTTCTTGAGGAGCCTTTCAAAACCATCACTTTACCCTACATTGCAGGGATCACAAAAAAGATCTCCAAAATCTTGAATAAACACAACATCCAGGTCCGTTTCAACACATTACATAAAATCCGTGATCTGGTTCCGTCTGTAAAAGATGTGATTCCGGACATACAGTACCCTGGTGTCTACAAACTAAGTTGCCTCTGTGGTAGTAGTTACATTAGAGAAACCAAACGCCATATCTTGCACCGCATTCGTGAATACAAAGCAGACCTTAAACACGGTAGGACCAACACCTCGGCCGTGGCAGATCATTGTTATAATTCAGTAGGCTCACATGACATTGACTTTTCCAAGACAGAGGTTCTTTGTAAGCCATCTGGCTATCATGAGAAATTCGTTCATGAGGCTATCCACATATACAAGCACAGAGACAATTTCAACCGAGAAGATGGATTCTGGCTTAGCAATCATTAAGAAGATTTGATAAACTATTTCAGGTCTTAATTGATTGTTCACGCTTACAGTGGCTTTCAGACAGCATACATTAATTTTTCGTCTCCCCCCTCCTCTTTTCAGAACATAGATGGACTAGTCCTTCTAAATAAACTGCCAAATCGCTGCGCGTGGCGCTGACGTTTTTAAATAAGTAAATAAATAGATACACCGTTTAAAAATAAATAAATTAATGCGAACCAACACACCTGATGACGACCGTTTGTGTTATGGTCGAAACGTCGTGAGAATTTTTATTGTTTTATATATTTTATTATTTTATTGTTTCCCTTCAACGTGACTTTACCGAAAGAGCTAAGAATATAATTATTGTTGTTGTTTTGTGCATCATAAGAAATTTGCTAGCCTTTGCAACTCAATGATGTACACAAATGTGTGTTTTAATTCACAGTACACGTAGCATCACAACACACTCGCACGCAACTTCGCGACAGCGGGCAGGGGGTTGTGGTGAGAAAATTAGAGCTGAAATACTTTGTGATCACTTCATCTGTTGCACCGTAAACACAGCCCAAGATTAGAAGATATAAAAGCATCGACTTACCAAACGAGTCACTGGTATATAGAAAATCGGTCGGTTTTATCATTTGCGAATAATTAATTTAAGCGTTGGTTTGCATCACCCTGGTTGACTCCGTCAATTTACATTGAGTTATTGGTATTTTGTCTTATCCAGAGCCTCAGAGATCGTAAGTCTGTCGTCGACGGTAAATAAACATTTTATAACGCCAGACTAATTCTTAAATGGCCTCAGAATTGTCTCTCTTTCCCTTTTGGATGCTCTTCGATTACTGAGGTCATTGATTTCCGTGTAAACATTTGAAAAGGTAAGGTCCGCCGCGATTGTGGTATTGAGAACATCACATTGACCGTTAATAAAAAAAGAAGCAGTTCTAAAGAAAATTAGTTATCAATCTAGATTTGGTAGTGTTATAGCTCCAGCGGCTTCCTAATATATCGGAAGGAAGAGCGTTCCAGACGGTCGCTCTTTGTTCGATGGCGAGCCAAGAAGCCGCTGCCACAAGGATGATCAGAGTCTATGCTCCCCTTAACGAGATCAGCGAGGTGTTTACGAGTACGCGGCAGCGAGATGGATTGTTTCATCGCGAGACTCCGAGACGGGGTGAGGGCTTGGGGAGGCCTTCATCCAGTCGTGGATAGAGTATTGTTGATGATGAATAGGATGATGACACTTTGAGAGTTGCGGAAGAAAACATTTACAAAGGGGTTTGCTAATTTATATCCTATCAATAAATAAATACTGTGAACACTCACACACCGCATTCCAAATTACTGCGAGGTTTGTAACGGGTCACAGGGGGAGTTATGCCAAAAATATTACTTTCAATAACGCAGAAGCTGTGGAATTTAATTAAATGGCCGTAGCAGAGGAAGGTTTACATGAATACAAAAAAAACGATTGAAGTTTATTGAAACATTTATTTGACACTCGAACTCGAAGAAACGTCTTCATGAAAAACGACTGAGATTACTGTAGAGCCTTCAAAATGAGGGTTGTTACGCAATGTAAAACTGCAGAATGATTAGACTTCAAACTAGTATTCATAGTTTAAAGGTTTTGCAAGAAACTACCATTTGAGCTGCTCAAAGTATTCACTGTCAAAACACGGACTAATTCAGTTCGAGTCAGTTTGGATAATTGTTACAGCAGAGCATTTATGCTCAATGGGAATGTGTGCAACATGCAAAAGTGGTGGTGAAAAACAGAAATCAAATTATGAGTCCGAAAGAGAAAAAAGAGACATGAGGTTCCAGGGCATGCTATTACATACACAAGGAATGCACGCACTTTGAAAACTGCATTCATCGGTAATCACGTAAATGCCCAATAAGTCTGTAAAGCATCTACATTCAATGCGTTTCTTCACTTTTTCACAGCGGACATCGATGCAGGATTGTTCAAAGCGCAATCTTTGTTGGTCCAATGTTCGTCACGTTTCAAATGTAGCTTTACATTTTGAATAAACGTGGCGGACGCAACAACGAAGTTGGCCAATTATGACCACGGGTGGTGAACAAAGCTGAATTCTGCAATCTGAGGCAGCGGGTCGCCAATGTGCATCTACAATGCAGACAATGTCTGATTTCACAACATTGATCTGCTTTAACACTGAAAAAAAAAATCAATGCAACAGGCAGGCCCAGAGGTCATTCTTTCAAACAACATTGCAGCGGGGAGTTAGTCGTGAATGGCATATCTTAGAAATAGTCCGGCAGGCAGATTCGTTGTGGTGTAATCCATCAGATCATTGCAAATGCATTTACACACTGCCTTTTAACAAATGAGGCGCTAAGGGAATGTGTCTGGTACATACGACGTGAGTAAAAGGCACGTTTGTTTTTTCTTAGTATACAAAAGCATGCAGTTGAAAAGGCAGATGCATAAATAAACGAGGCAAAATGGCTTTGCCCTTGTTCTCAAAAGTAGTTTTTTTTTCATGCACGCTGCTGTGTTTTGATGTTGTGATACCACATGTCAAGGTGAGCTCTGGGAATCAATTATTCTGTCATCTGGAAATAACTTCAAGCCAAACCCGCCCAGCTCTCTGGCAGGTCGACGTAGATCACGTCGTTTCCTTGAGCGAGAGAATGTTGTACACAAATCACCACCTGCTATAGATTATAATGTCCCTGCAAAAACAAAATGAAGCGGTTAATTTAACCGCACACTGTTAAGGGGCATTTGTCGTACATGTACGTTCCAAAAGTTCAAATGTGGTGATTTTTAATGCCAGCGAAATCATTTTAGCTAGTTTAACACGTAGGGTCTTGGCGACCAATACCATCCATAATACAGTTTTTTTTGGGTTAGATCGCGTAAATATATAAATGTGTCGTTAAAACCCGCCACCACCCGACACAGCCAACTAGTAAGGGTTGTCACGTAAACAGAACGAGGCCATTTCGTCACTAGTACAGCAACACCTGGTGTGTTGGAGAGCCAAGCCACAACATTTACAATCTGAGTACGACGTTTCACAAGTAATTACAACTAGCTTCATCAGGCGACAGCCAGATTTGTCGGGACAGATGCGATGACAACAGCTAATTCACAGAATTGTTTGGCCATTTGTATAGACAGTGAACCGTGAGGATGTGTCAATGTAGTAGTATTTGAAGTAGTGTTCTTTAAACTTCAGTTAAGGATGATTACGTATTCATGCAGATGTCACCCTTCGCTCTTTCATTTTTACACTGGTTAGGACAAAGATCGCTCAAGTAGCCTTTATCAGACTTAGGGGAAAGTGCTGTTGGTGAGTATCTCTGAAGGCCAGCAATACACATATCAGACTTAGGGGAAAGTGCTGTTGGTGAATATCTCTGAAGGCTGGCAATACACATATCAGACTTAGGGGAAAGTGCTGTTGGTGAGTATCTCTGAAGGCTGGCAATACACATATCAGACTTAGGGGAAAGTGCTGTTGGTGAATATCTCTGAAGGCCGGCAATACACACGAAGCTGGTGGGGTGGTCAGCACCACGCCCGGCCGCCTTTGTATCTCAAGTGGCGATGTTTACACACCGCACCAGGTACTCATTCAAGGCTGAGTCGACCTAGGGGGAGGCCCAGGACTGGTTCAAATATTTGATCGTAAGCGGGAACTGGTTCTAAGCCCAGTGCGCTAACCACTAAACTGCCGCTCCCTATTAGTATACACAAACAGCCAGCGTACACGTACAACAACAGCATGTAAACAAACATTTGAATATATATATACTCAGAGAAAGAGTGGAAATGTAATTATTGCTCCGGATATCATAATGGACGGAGCCCCTGGATAGGAAATGTGTTGTAAAACGTGCACTTACTGCATGTGGTAGGGTGAATCATCCTCCGTGTCGTTCCCCGGCCAGCCCACGGTGCGGTAGACCGGTGTGACTTGCTGCAGGACAAATTCCTTTAAAGCAAGAAAGGGAATTACGTTGTTTTTTTTTAACTAAGCGAATATAATTTAGAATTTGAAACAATTTGTCTTTTTTTTACAAATTCCCAAATCAATGCATGGAGATATTAATGGTCACATTTCACATCTTGATGAATACGAGTGGCCAGACAGGCGAGGTCACTTGCCACGCTTAGGTATTCTGCAAAGACTCACCTGTTGCTGCTGGTCTCCATTTGCCATGTGTGACCAGTGCTCTCTGGACTTTGAAGTATTTCTATTTCCTAACTTCTCCGAATAGCGCACAGAGATCCCTGGATGAATTGTGCCTTATAAATGTAAATTATTATTATTATTTCTCGAGTAAAGCCCATTGAGCTATACATAATGCATAGCTATATAGCTTTTTTCTAAAGATGAAAACACAATAAACTCTAGGTTCTATTTAGAGTTTAGGCCTAATCATTACCATGCTCCCCACACCCATTTACTTTTCTTAATTGTCAATATGGTGCCTTTGATTTGTGTTGTTCTCAAATTGATTATTTCTCCCCTTGTAATTTTCAAATGTGATTGTTTTGCTTTCCACTTCATTTACTTTGCTGCATCCATTCCATTTTGTTTGTCGGGGTGCACGTGACTGACTCATGTTTCCTTTTTGGCAGTGTGCACTGATTGAAAACCTTCTTCTTTGGACACATCGATACACTTTCCTCATCGATGCACACTAACTTTCGTCGTTATGTATACCACTAACATAGGCATTCCATCCTGCTCGCTCGCTCTCTTGATTTCATTGTTCTGATTTGAATCCACCTTCAACAACCCCCCGAGGTGGATATTCTGCTGTGTTCAAGTTAAACAGTAATTTTATTTACCAACATTTACACGAAGTTAATCTTTGCAACCTTCTTTGTGAAATTCCCAATCATTTCCTTTTAAAATTAATATCCACTGCTTGTTAAACTACCACCAGCAAATCCATACGATCTTTGTGAACAACTTACAAGCATGCGATAGGACTAGCCTGTAAGAATTCAAATCAGTTTTGTCCCCATTTTTTTTTAAAGAAGAATAATTGCAGCATCATTCCTGTGTTGGAGGCATCTCCTTTCTGTGTAACCCTTAGTAAACAGGTCCACTAATTGTGTTTCAACTTCTGGTTCCGATTACGTTGATGGTGTCCACAGTTATTCAATGTGGCCTGGGAATTTGTATTATTTCTTACTGCAAAGGGCACTGGTTATGTTAATACTGAAGGGTAATTCTTAGAATTTCTTAGAGTCACTGTGTTTTTCTGAGCTACTATGTTCGACAAACCCATATCTTTTTTTCTTACAAATCCAATCTACTAATTAAAATAATTTGTTTACCAAATAAAAAAAACATATTTTATTTAGACAATGTTAGAATGCAGTACACCTGTGTGGGAGAGAAATTAAGACACGCCGTGTCAGAATGCAGTTTTTCCCTCTCAACCCTGGAACCTTGCCAAGTTCAATCTATACAACGCGATGTGCAAGCGCACGTTCGCAAACACTTCACCATCGCCTAAATAGCACAATTGCTCTTTCTTTACTTATCGAGGCACAAATACCTCATCAAACAATCCACTCAGTGATTGAATAACCATCAACGTACGGTCAGTGCAACAATGTGACGGCCATGAATGGCCAGCGGCGAGGACAAATGCGCAAAAGCCATTTTACTTTGTGGTCCCTGGGTCAAACTCATCAACTGGTCACATTTAACCAACACCAAGGTCCCCCCCCCCCCCCGTGCCTGGAACTGACATTGTTGTACTGACTTGACCAACGTCACCCAAACACCCCGCCATTCCGTCCTTGCCCGTGTAACCGCAAAAAAACACATACGGAGAGCAGCAAATGTCCCGGTGTGCGGTCCAGAATTTTGTCGAGGTACTGCAGAACATTGCGGGCAGCCTGCCAGGGCAGGGCATCCCACTCACGCCTCAGATAACGACTCAGGCGCAGCGCCAACTCCTGGGGAAGGTATCCTGCCCTGCACACAAATGCATGCAAAAAAAAGATAAGTGTATGCCACCGTGCTGTGATGTGTCCCATCTCATCCCATCACATGCATGCCACGTATTGCCTTTGGTCAAAGTGGTATCATCCAAGCTCAACAGAGGGGCTCATTATCCCAGCCGGTACAGTGTGGAGGGGTTGTGTTGATGAATATTCCATAATTTAGTAATTGCAGGTAGCCACATTTTCCAGATTTTATCAAATTGGGCCGTGAATGGAAAATGAATGAATTAAATTGTAGGTATTGAATCTAAACTTTGCGGGAACTGATGCATCTTCTGACACAAAACACAGCATGATTGGGTTGTGATTTTGATGCCTCGTTGGTAGGAATACAAACCACTATATTATCTGAAAGACAATGTTTTAAACAGATCAAATACATTATATATAATACACTAAAACATCACATATGTGATTCGCTGGGGGATGAGGTAAATACTACAGCGGTTGTGGGCCATTTATTGGCCGGAGATGATTGGATCGCGACATTTGCACTAAAACAGTAAATCTCGTGACATGCACACGTTGCTCGTGAAGGGCTCTACAATACACCTCGCAATCTCTCAAGGCCAATAACGGAATGTGTAATGACACCATTGTAAGGATCGTGAACAAAGAACCTTCTTCCCCAAAAAAATACGATAAAAAAACCTGCCTGTCGTGCAACCTAACCTAGCATTTAGGGCGAAAATGTTGGCAACGTTTACAGATTGACTATTTGCAGCAAATGACAATGCTTTTGTTCAAAAAGCAGGCATTATCCCGATCGGCAAGCGTTGAGGCAGTATTGAACAGTGATTTTTTTTTTAGGGAAAAAACGTACATAGCCCTCCCTAAATTTCACGGAGTATAATTTTCAGAGATTGAGTTCCGGCAGGGTTGCACGCTCTTCCAAATAAGATATCCGGGGCAGCCGGAGGAGCGGCCGGAGGACATTCCTATTCACTCGAGGGGCCATGAATTTCAGAGTTTTCGTTGTTCCGAGGAAATAGCTATTGTTTGTAAGTGTGATTGAGTGTGATTGCAGGTTCCCAGGCCATAATGCAGGCTCCAATGAACACCGGGGTGCCGTGGCTAGTTTTTCTCCAGCATTGCCACTGTTGATACGAAGGTTGCTGAGGCAGAGCTCGTGGCTGTCTCTACCCCCCACTCCCCACCTTGCTCCCACCCCACACCACCTTGCTCCCACCCCCTGCTTGTGCACCCTGCTGGCCATAATTAGGACAATTAATCCGGAAAAAATACAAAGTCCTTTGCTTTGGACTGCACACGTGTCTGAGTGGAGCGAGCGAAGCAATCACTGCACTGCCTCGATATCGCTGGAGTTCAATTCCTAGGTGTGCACATCGGCAAATCAGCGGTTGTCTCTAAGGGGGACAACGAAATTATATTTGAGTACCGAGTAGCTGCGTAATTATGAACTGATTCGGCAATTGAAATCAATTCTTATGCTCGCAATAAATGCATCCAAACGAGCGTCAACAACCTAAATATATACAATGTACTGCATTTTATGCAAATGCGATTTCATGCTGGAGGAACACACAAGATGAATCAAACAAACCTTATTGCGTGAGGCAGACAATAGAGATGGTACATCACATGGCAAAAAATAAAACCACGAAGGATTCTTGAATCGATTTGTGAGCCCTTGTCATATCAATTCATCGAATGGCCAGAGGTAAATCCATGAGTGCATAATACCCAGTGCAAGGTTACTGAAGCTTGGGAAATACATTATGTGGTTGTGCATGGCATTGACAACATCAGCAGTGGCTGTGTGCACCGATAACAGTTTTTGAATGCGAGCTTGACATATATTTAAAGTAATTATCTTGCATGAAAGTTAGCAATCATCGACAAGTACAATCATTCCTCTCAATCTGTCCGGGCAGTGCAGGGGGAAATACAGAGGGAATTTGCGTACGTGTGGGTGTGTGTGAGATCCGTGCATCTATCTCAAGCAGAGGTGTGACATTTCGACTTTGGTTAGTTCAACTTTTTTTTCTATTACCTCCGATGGGAAGCGTGTGCAAGTCGTGGACAATACTGACCTGGCAAGGTTGAAGGAGTCGTCAATTAATCCTGCACGGTTTCCAACTGAAATGACCTGGGGAAAATGTACCACGGTCACAACGTTAGAATGTTAATGCACTCAGACAGTGGGAGAGAGTGAGGGCGAAGTTTCCCCTGACACAGTGACGGTGTCTCTGTAGTTTTTATTTTAACTTTGGTCAGCTTAACACAAGGCGTCGCGAATTATGTGTTTTGCAAAAAATAAAACTAGAAATGTAAACGATTGATTATTTAAATGGTTGTACTAATGTAATTGGTGTTCTGTAATCCCAAAAAATATATAACATGCAAGGGCTGGAATATATTACATTTCTGACCACAATACTTAAACTATTTAAAATATATTCAGATCATGGGAGATGTGATCCTTTTATTTTTGCTCAATTTAAGATGCTGAATCGGTAATGGAAATTACATAGAACATCCGACCACGGTGACTTAACTTGGTGAAACTAATATATATTTTTTTATCAATGCCGGAGAACGTAGACCCGTACCTCTTGCTGGACTTGTATATGTATTTCTACTGACCGTGTACCTCGTATTTTTCATTCTATCTATGCTGGTATGTGCAATCCAAAGGTTGAACACGAAATTTAACACTCTTCTGAAATTCGTGGTCCGTCAGGAAGTGTCTAACTGTGTTGTTGGCCTGACTGGATGTGCTTCACATAATGTTTTTTCAGGTTTGTTGAATTCTCGTCTCTCATCTTTTTGTTGTATTTACCTTCGTGATTTGTTCTTGACACCTGATGAAGATCGCTTGCGTTGTGATCTAAACGTCGTGATTGTTTTTTGTTTTAATATAATTTTATTGTATTTCTACATACGTGACTTTACCGAAAAAAACAATGAGTAACGTAGAACTGCTCAAATAAAACTAAGGCGAGCATTTTAAGTCAAAATTTCTTGGTTGGAAGCCTGTTGCACTACCCAATGATTCATAACCAAGCAAACCACAACAAAGCCTTTATCAACCGACTTTCGCCTGTCTTCACCTGGCGAAAGTCTTCAATAAATATAGTAATTCACCTGATCTACATCCAGACGCTAACAACTACTCCACAAAATGTTTGTTTTTTTTTTCTGCTGAAAAAGAAAAAAGTGATGAGGACCACATTAAACTTGTTATATTTACAGATGTACCCATCAGAAACCGCTCAAGTTAAATATTACGTTCTTTTTTTATTTATTAGAAAGAACAAAAATGAATGAACGTAATACGATGGTGAGGGGGAGCTCCTATCTTCTACCGTTTAACGAATTATTCAGATTTGAAGATCATAAATGCAGATTTTATTTTCGTTCAAAACCGCTTGAATCCGAAATATATATATATAAAAAAAAATAAAAGATAGAACAATGGTTCTGGCGTTAATCTTATTTGCTGTTTAATGCTCCATCAACGGTTTCTGAATGACACCAGGCACAAACATGTTTGTGGGGCACTTTTAATCGAGATTTGTGGGCCTTAATATGAAAATTCTGGGATGAAAATCCCAGAATTTTCATATTGTTCCTGTTGTTTGTGTCCTAAAAGCTACCAATGTACTACATTTCAGTTTTCTACCTTGTCGGAAAGTACCCTAGGGGTCTTTGAGACATACAGTACATGCACATTACGGTCTTTATTTTATATAGAAGATACATTCGTGCTTTGCACATTGACATTACAAGTGTAGAGTATAATGCTGCATTTCCTATTTTCAGATGTGGGCTTCAACAGTCAAACTCACGCACATCTGTAGATTATAAAAACACAACAATAATGATAACACTCATGTCGTTGTGGTCACACTTTCATGAGTTATTATTGCATAATTACACCAACACCCCGAGTGCAGCTCACGAACAAGCTTATAAAGCACAGCAGATTTATATATATATCAGATAAACACTCGAATCATGCATTCATTGCGACATACACAAGAAATATTAATCACAGTAGCTTCTGCAGATGTACTTTAGACCGTATGTAATTTATACACGCTCTGAATGTGCTCGACTTGATTTCCATTAGCCTTCTCACCTTCACTTTCTTGCATTTGGGAATGAAATATAATTACTCCTTAGATGGTTTTGCAATTACAATTTCATTTTGGCAGTTTTAAATCCAGTGGCCACGGAATATTAGAGCATTTTCACCTGAAACCCTGGGGAAAATTATGATGCCAACAGTTGCTCATAATTATTCTGCTAGAATGATCAAACTGTATTTTTAATAGACAACAGCTAAGTACATTATTCGGTCTGGGATTTGGTGTTGAAATGTATTCACACTATAAAAAAATTAAGCCCTTAAACACACGTCGACTATTTTACATAATGTAGCATGCACACACGAGAAAGTGGCATTTTATAGTGCACGTCGGCAAGTGGGAGGGGGTTACGTTACGAGACAGAACGAGAAACACAATGGGATTCAGAAAATTCACGCAGGCCAGTGACACAATTTCAAACTATGAACTAAAGTTAGCGGACTTGGGCAGCAGGATACGTGGAGTGATGACCGGTGACCAAGAATAGTGACGGAGTGGAAAAGTGTGAGGAACGTAGCAAGTCCGAGGATGTCCACTGAAGGGAAATCAGCTCGTGTACAGGTGCTCGGTGAATTAATGAAGTGATTCATGGAGCGTTATCGTAGAATGGCGAGAGATGGTAGCAGATTGGGGGAGGCCTTCATCCAGCAGTCGATTGAACATGGCTGCCGATAATGATGATGATTAGAAAAGGGATCATTTTCCCCATGCCTAATTTCCTCCACTCTGAGAACGTAGATGAATGAAAAAAAGTCAATATGAGTGAGTCACCGTTATAACCATAGGGAATTAACAATCAATGTGCATCAATGTTTCAGTAAATACGAATTACTGCCACATCGGAATTAATTACTGGGCTGTCGGACACATCACTGTGGTGTAATCAGCATATAGGTGGCAGTTACAGGGGAGTGCTAGGGGCCATCCGGAAGGGATAGCTTGTTAACAATGAACTAAAAACGCAAAAGTGTTTTGCTGCTTATTTCAGCAAGGGACAGAGCCTTGAGGCAGCAATGAAAACGCTGCCTCAAGGCAGGAGTGAGTCAATTCATATGATTGACCCCTGAGGAATGAAGGGCTGAGTAAGCACTTAAACCGGGATTTGAACCTGTGACCTTATGGTTGCGAGTTTCACGCTTTACCACTCTTGCCACCTGGCCAGTTTACTTTCAGATATATATCTAATGCATAATCAAAATCAGCAGCCCTTCTCTATCTTCTGCTAGGCGAAATAATCCCTGTCTTGGTATCATTGCCTGTATTTATTTCTGTATACCTGTAATTATCAAACCTACAATTTTAAATTCTGAGCATTAAGTATGCTATCCAAAAATATGGTGGTAGTTTTCTTTTTTTTAATGTAATTTAACTCATAATTATTACCTAATTAGAGAGCACTGTCAGCAAAATGATCGACTCACAGTCAAAATGCTGCTGGCTCAAATCCGTTTCAGAGTATGACTCAGCTCATCCTCCCTTTGGAGTCATTAAAATTGAGCACCACTTTTGTAGGAAGTGAACAGTGCATGGCCTGTTCACCTTATAAACATGAGTAATATTACATTTCTTTCAGGGTCCCATAGTGCATATTCCAACTATTATTCTCCCAATCTCTCTGGCATATCTATCTCCCTGCTATGAAGAAGAGCCATCTTCTCAAATGTCACCCATTATACACATATACAATCGTCTTCGGACAAATGTGTTGAGCGTTGTATTGTTTGTGACTTTGCCAGTGCAGTATTACAATACATTATTTGTTTATTAGCGGTTGGAGAGATTTTTTCCAATCTCAGGAATGTATAATTTGCCATTGGTGATGAGTAACCACTCAGTATACATTTGAAAATGTATACAATTTCCTTTCTTTATGTTAATCACTGCAGCTATTATTATTACAGTCACAGTTTTTTTACGCATGTCCAGATTTTCTTAAACCCCTTTTTAAAATACCAGCCCAATATCCAAAATAACCCGGAATTCTATATTTAAAGCTTTCGTGACTGCTAGGATCCATACTCTTTGGTTCTATTGGATAAAGTCACGTAGGTGAAAATAAAATAACAAAAAAATTAACAAAAAAATCACGACCTGATGAAGGCCGCTTGTGTTGTGGCCGAAACGTCGTGATTTTTTTGTTAATTTTTTTGTTATTTTATTTTCACCTACGTGACTTTACCCAATAGAACCAAAGAGTAACCCGGAATTCACCTGATCTCAATCAGACCTACGAAGCTAAGCAGTTGGTAACTTGGAAAGGATGAGCAACCCCCATGCAATAAAAACAGGTGCAGTGGGCATGGTTGGCAGCAGAGAGCAGTGAAACAAAACTCCATTGTTGTCCTCTGCTCCCCCCACTTTCACCACCCACTAAGCGTGGGGAAGTATGGTCAAATAGACCGCACATTGTGGGCGGGCCCTCGTCCAGCTGCGGATTGACAAACGGGCTGTACATGTGAAAATGCTTGAAATATACAAGCAACCATTTTTGTGATTTATACGTGTGTTTTTTTATTTACATTTATCTCAATGCCATTTTACACCATTACGATTTTCTAAAAATATATATTTCCAATGCTGTTCTGGGGAATGCACAAAGCCCACTTGAGGAACATGCACAATAGTAATATCTCCATTAAAGCTGCATCATGACCCCAAGATCCTGCGCTCCGCTACCCTTTAATATATTCATTTACAGATTATCTTTTACCCGGCAGTAGCATAACCCAGGACAGAGCTTCCGTAGAGAGGAGATAAACAATTATCTACACAGGCTCTCCATCTCGCTTGCCTTATAAGGCCTCACCTTTGTCGCTCAGATAAATATGCGATAAATGTGCGGGATAAGCTCCTCACTTTATCACATCATGAGGCATTCATCACAAATGTTGTATTAACTTTGCAAATGTCCACGCTACCTTTTGTACATTTGCGACAACAAATGTACACATTTGTACAGAATGCTTCCGTAATAAAAATTCCATCATCAGAGCCT